TCACCTTTATCCCTCGAGGAATATATTCTAACCTAGTTTAAGTCACAGTAGTTAGTCACTGAGTTTGAGTAAGTAATCGACATAACACTGGACACCCTATAACAAGAAAAAAAAAGAAGAAACATTACGCCGCAAACTGACGAATCGCATGTCTAAGTTGTGATATTCAAACACATTAAGTGAAAATTTTTAAGTCTCACTATAAAACAATGGATTCATAATCATGAAACCATCATTAATCTAAGCATTCACGATTTCCTCTTTGCATTCACAAGGTGGTCCAGACCATCCTCCCCACCATGAAAGATAATAACAGAAAAATATTGAGCTAAGTAGGTAGGTACATATCACATAAAAGAGCAGTCTACCAAAGGATGGTCAGCAGTGGAGAGCGTGCAGCATGTGGAATCATACTTAGATCAGATAAAGTTNAAAAAAAAAAAAAATTACGAAAAGGTGATCGAGTATATAATATTATTTGGTCTTGTTCATAAACTTAGATTAACTGACAAGTGATTACTTGTTTATTAGATAAGTTTTAAAATTTAACTCAAGTTCTTTGTATAAGCGAACGGAATTGAAAAAATTTTAATTCGAGTTAATCTAAAATTATTCACGGACAACTAAATTTGTTTGTATTCCTTCTTTTATCATTGTGATTGACATTGTAGAATAGCATCAGACAATACACTTCTGTCGATGATGATGAATTAGTCTAATTGATCAAATCCACCAAAACGTCACTGAATCAATTACAAGTTAAACGAGATCATGATTAGAGCAATGTTACATGAGATTCAAATCCCTCAAAATTTTTTCTCTATTTTTATTCTTGACAGTTCACTTAGTATTAATGAGTAAGAGTAATCTAACTTATATATAATAAGTCCCACTTAAATTCATTATTGGTGATGGTAACGATAATGAAAATGGAGAGAACATACATTGGAGTAGATCTCTCTCCTGCTACTTGTTAGAACAATTAACGTAATTCAATAATATTATTGTATCACTATTGGACTTATTCACTAAAAACATATCTAATTGACACTCATATATTGTCAAGTCCAATAAAAATATCAGGTCTCAGAGGTCTGAGGCATGTTATATGAATATACAAGCATGATCTTCCTCTTTGATCTTCATGCAGTTTGTGATAAATTGGAAGACCTCCAGCAACGTATGTTTTGGTTCGCCCATTACAAAGTGTCCTAAACTGCCAAGAATGCAGGTTCCAAGGAAGCTCATGTGTGAGCAGTGGTGAAGTTATTACTATTAGTATTAATTTCAGCTTCCTATATACCCCCAGCAGCTGCTTGATTAGATATTGTCCATTGTTGGGACTTCAACACCAAAAACTCCTCTCCTAATCAATTCTTCTGCACAGAAACATTACGTCACCTTTATCCCTCGAGGAATATATTCTAACCTAGTTTAAGTCACAGTAGTTAGTCACTGAGTTTGAGTAAGTAATCGACATAACACTGGACACCCTATAACAAGAAAAAAAAAGAAGAAACATTACGCCGCAAACTGACGAATCGCATGTCTAAGTTGTGATATTCAAACACATTAAGTGAAAATTTTTAAGTCTCACTATAAAACAATGGATTCATAATCATGAAACCATCATTAATCTAAGCATTCACGATTTCCTCTTTGCATTCACAAGGTGGTCCAGACCATCCTCCCCACCATGAAAGATAATAACAGAAAAATATTGAGCTAAGTAGGTAGGTACATATCACATAAAAGAGCAGTCTACCAAAGGATGGTCAGCAGTGGAGAGCGTGCAGCATGTGGAATCATACTTAGATCAGATAAAGTTTGGGCTTTCATGTGTAAAAGTATGGGCTTAATGTTATTCAAATCCTACTGCACTATATATACTTAGACTCGAAAGCATCTGTAATTACTTTCATTTAAAAGTCTTTGGCTTCTCTTCATATTCTCTTATTAGTAGTTTATTTCAAGAAAAAAAGTTAACGAAGGAAAGCGAAGTCCACGAAACAAACGAAGTGGGCAGTAGGGAATAGGGCCCAAGTCTGAGAAGACTAGTACATGCCCCCACACTTTGCATGTGTGTATAATTGTATGACTTGGGGATTTGAGTCCTGATGTTGCTCTTTACACGCCGCACATAACATGCAAAAAGCCGAGAAAGTTGAATTCTTTGTTCCTAATCATTGGTCTTATAAAAAGTGAACGACTTAGTGCATGCGTCAGCGTCCAAGTTATGATACCAATACCAGCTAGCTAGGGGGAGTCTTTGTGTTTTTTGTTTTGGTTCAAACGAGAAAGATGTTTTGGTTCAACTGGTTGGTGAAGAATGATTTTTTGATGTATTAGAATTATTCTTTATTCACATATTTTATCATTAAATTATTTATTTAAAACTTAAATTGATAAAAATTTAATCTTAAATGAATTAACTATATTATCTATTAAGAAATATTTATTGTCAAAACTTGAAAATGAAATTATTTCAAAAAATAAAAAATAAATTTATAATAATTAAAATATTATATATTAATAAACAAATATATTAGTAGGCCTCATATAAAATCTTTGTTTAAGGCCCCACTTTATCTTGGGCCACCTTAAAAAAATATAAATATTTAAATTCGAGACGTTTAAGGTATAGGCACGTAAAATAAATAGTAGAACATAGAATTCTTTGGAAAGGTGCACTCCATGGACAGTTGAGATGACCAAATTGTGAATTTTTTAGCCCAATAGAAAGCTTGACTCAGTTTATGGACTTCACTTGTTGGGAAGAAATCTTATTCGAACTCTGTAATAATCCATAATCATTGCCATCATCTAAGCGTAAATGTGACGAAAGAAGGGCAAACAATGTTTCACTCATTATTCCCTTCTTCTGTTTTGAGCAATACCACCTGAACCTGATTAACAAACTAAATTTGATAATTTAATATACTATTGTTATTGGATAGACCCTAACACCGGACACTATTGTGTAGTACATCGCCTGCTATCCACCTGTCCATTTGTGGGTCGAGTGCAATTTATATATATTGCATTTTCATACCAAATTATATGTAATTGACGATTAAGAGATTATGACTTTTTTTCTCTCTTTTAAAGATCGACGATGATTTTTTATTTTTTTTTTCTAAATTGATGCCAAAATGAGTAATTAATGCTATGTAAACTTCACACACTATTGTTACTTATGACGTGCCGGCAGACATGGTATATCAGCAATTTAAACATTGCTATGTTTAAATTGAATTCTTAATTCTTAGAATATATCACATTTTACTTATGACGTGTAACATGTTTTTCATCATAACTTAATTCTTAGAATAAATCACATTTTTTAATCTTATGAGCAGCACCGGGGGTGTCCATGGTTGGGCCGGACTTGGCCTGCGAATTTTTTTTGGATTGGATTTGAGTAGGATAGGTCCAAGTCTTTACCCGAGTGATTTATCGAGTGGGCCAAGCTGAACTTTAGGTAGAGTTAAACTATTCGTAACTCAGCTCGCCACTCACAGACTTATTGGATAGGCCTTTTGGGCAAACCTGTTGAAGGAGCTTTTTATATACAACTTTATTTAGAAATAATGAATATTTTTGTATATTAATATTTTTATAAATTATATTTTTGAATTAAAAGTTTAGTCAAAATGGATGAAAAATAAATAATGAATAATTTTATTTATAAATAGGGGAGGAACTACATCACAATAGAATGAACATATCTCAACTAGGTTAACACCTAGCTATCTATCTATAATTTGCATAACACTATACCTTTAAAACGTGTACGTTTAATGCATGAAAAATAAAAAAATATATTATTTATAATATTTAAATTTCTAAAATCTCCAATTCTCGACATTAAGGAATTTATTTCCATGTTTTGACTGGGCTGAGCAGGCGGGCGGGCATACTGGATTGGACTGGGCAAGCGGGGTTATTAGGCTGAGTTTTGGGCTGAATAATGGGGTTGAGGTAGCCTCAAGCCTTCTTTTAAAGGATATTGTGCTTAAATTCAGGTGGACCAATTATCTGATTTAGGTCCTATTGTTTTTGGATTGAGTAACGAGACAGGTGGCCAATTAAACCCATAAACATCTCTAAGCAGGACCAATATCAGTAAAATATGTCCTTGTATATCTGCTTAGGTTGCATTTGTGATTCATCTGGGATTTAATGACTACTGCGAGTTGGGCAGAAAGGTCAATCACTTAGGGCAAGGCTATATTTCTTAGCGTCATCACACACGTCAAAGAAATTAAAGTAAATACAAAAAAAGAAAAGAAAGTCAATATGTTTTCTTAATCAATGATAATGACCCCAATATGGATAAACCTATGGTACCAAGGAGGTGTGTTTTATTTGAAATTAATCCACACCTGTTTGTTTTAGTTTGAATGATAAATTGATTCGGAGCCATTGATTTGAGTTTGAATTATTTGCAATCGTTGATTAAAATATTATAAAATAATATAAATTAATAAAATAAGAAAATTATACATAGCAATTTTTTAATGGATGAAAAGTTTGAGTAATGTTTATGGGACAGGAGCAGTGAAGAAGAGACTGAGGATCAACCCAATTAGGCAATCTATCCAAAAGAAGCTGCATAGCCTGAAGATTGGGCTGGGCTCTCCTGGATCTAGTCCACGGTCAGAATACAAATTCGGTGGGCCCTTCAGTTTGAAGTCTTGATCGCAGTAGTGGGCATTTCAGATTTTGTGACACACACACACACACACATATAAAATCATGTCGAATAAGACAGGTTTGTGCTAAAAAATACTATATTAATACCCGATTCATTTATATGAGTAATGTTGTGTATTTCTTTTGAGTTGTTTCATATCCGATCCTTTTATTAATTGTGTCGTATCGAGTCCATCCGTTTACTAAATATGTGATTTAAGAAAAATACAAATTCTTTAATTTCATATCGTGCCATTGACACCCCTAATCCCAATCATAGGTGCAGTATTTTTTTTTTCTCTTTTCTCTACCTCCAAGAATTGTCAATGGACCCAGACACGGCTGTAAATGGACGAATCATCAGGATCGACGGAAAAATTAAATACTATACAATACCAGAAAGCCAAAGGAGACTGTCTTTGTTTTGGTACAATAGTTATTTCCATCACAATAAAAAGTGACAGTTTACAACATAAAAAATCGTCAAGCACGAGGCTCGAACATGCAAATATGCTAGAGACCTGCTTTTACCATCGGTGAGCGTTGATGGGCCGCAAATCCAGTTGCAGTAACGCTACCACCATGCTGAGTGGAAAGAGGAGACTTACTCTGATTATGATGACGATAATGAGTGGGATGTCGTTCTTGGCGTTGGGCCCGGAGACGCCTATTACTGTCTTTGGACTCCTTGGGCTTAGTCTTAATGGCCTCAATCTGTTTTAACTTTTCCAAGACTTCATCCATCGATGGGCGGTTTTTGGGATCGGATTCAATACATCTGAGTATGAGTGCAGCTGCTTGAAATGCACCTTTTAAGGGGTACTGGCCATCCAGCCTTGGGTCCATTATTCTCTTTAACTTTCTTTTCTCCGGCATGTAAGGCCTGGCCCAATCAACTAAGTTATGCTCTCCATTGGGCCGATTCAAATCAAGCACCACCCGGCCCGTTAATATTTCGAGCAACACTACCCCAAAACCATACACATCGCTCCTAATATACAAATGACCTGGTCAATTCCAGTGGAAAATTATTAATAAAAAAATATATATATCAAGAAAATTTATGAGCAACAGTAGATTAAATCAACGAATTTATTCAGAATAACATTACCATAAATAATATTACTGTAAATAATTACCGGTGGCCATGTACTCGGGAGCTGCATAACCATAAGTGCCGATAACTTGTGTTGTCACATGCGAATCGCCGTCGACTGGACCTAACTTAGCTAGACCGAAATCCGAAAGCTTTGCATTAAACTCCTGGGGGTAAATTTCAAATGGAAAATTTTAAAGTGAGAAAAAATTTCCAACAGATTAGCTTCGATCATTAATCATAACCAAATTAAATAGTTGGGACATACCTCGTCCAGCAATATATTAGAGGACTTGAAGTCACGGTATATGACTTGTTTCTCTGTTGTGTGCAAGAAAGCAAGACCTTTAGCTACTCCTATTGCTATTTTAAACCGAGTTTCCCATGAAAGTGGTTCTGCAATTTCTGCAAAAAGCAACAAAAGATGTCACTTAATGAAATATTAATTAAATTTACTACAAAAAATGAACAATTAAATTTTAAAAATTGGCTAAATTTAAGGTTCTTGTTGTGCTTACTGCTGAAGAGATGGGTCTCCAGGCTTCCCTTCTGCATGTATTCATAGACAAGGAGAAATTCCCTATCTTCCCAGCAATACCCCAACAGCTTTACGAGATTGGGATGGCTAAATTTTCCCAAGAATTTTACCTCGCACTACACCCACAATTTCACAATCAGTTCAACATAAATTTGACAATGATCTTGACTAAATTCTAGCTACTTGCAAAATAAATAAATAAATTTGTTGTTTGATCATGTCTTTTTTTTTTTTTTGGGTGATCTAGTCAAAGTAGATCATCTTTGTATATTTGATCTGTAATACAAAAAATCTAAAAAGAAAAAAAAGACTGAAATTAATTTTCCGCTTGACTTTAGAGTAAATATAAAATATATATCTGAAAAAGAGTAGGCTCATAAAACCAATGGAAAGAAGTCCATGAGTTCATACTGTGTTTATACTATTTTATACCAACCCAAACCTAATTAAAAGAGCACGATACAATGTCCTTGACTTTCCAACCACAGGAAAAAGTTGACTTTGGTACTCCAAATTAACTTTCTTTATATTTTATATGTTTTGAGTAATGTATTAGACCTAACAAGTATATCGTCCTCGACTAATCTTTTTTAGCCAAAGACAGACCAATCACTCTCGGACTAAAATATTCATGATCAAGAATAAATTCATATAGTCTAGTTTTAAAAAATTTTGAAGATTTAAATTCAAAATATTTAAATTTATAATTTATCCCGATTGCTAATTAAGCTACCGCTTAGAATTATACAACGTGATTTTCTGATGCAAAAGCCTAATTAATTAAACAATAACCATTGAAAACGAAATGAATGGCACTAACTAACCTGCCATTCTTTTAGGCCTTGTGGGCTATCTGGACTGGATTTCTTGACCGCAACTGGGATTCCAATTCCAACCTTGGATGGAGCATAAGTCTTTCCATCGATCCATCCTTTGAAAACCCTTCCGAAACCTCCCTCACCCAACATCGTGTCCGGTCTGAAATTTCTGGTCGCGCTTCTCAGCTCAGCATAAGTGAACATTTTCAGGTTTGGAGTGACAATTCGCCCACTTGGAGGCACTTCTTCAACACCACCACCTGTGTCGTCACATGGCGGCGACAAGCTTTTCTGACCACTGTTGCTGTTGCTGTTGTTCTTGAAGGGTTTTAAAGGTTTTGCATCGTTGTGGACTGAAACAAACAAAGAAGAAGACAAAACATTAGAAATATTTATGTACTCTCTGAACTGAAACTTAACTAAACAATGATTTTTCAGTCTGAAAAACGCAAAATCAAACAAACTTAATGCGTATATTTGTTTAAGGGAGGTAATACATACTTGGGTTGGACAGTTTGGCGGCGCTTGGGAGACTATCCACAGGCTTTGGCCAGCAGTTCCCCATCTTCTCTCTTTCTCTACACTATCTCCCCTTTGCAATGAAGTCTATTTAGTTGCCAATATCGCAAAGTTTTTCTATCTGTTCACTTTCCTCGAAGGAGAGAAGAAGGAGCAGAGGAAGGAAAGGAGCGAGCACACGAAAACCAGGACTTTTTCTTGATTATATACACAGAGACCAGAGAGAGAGAGAGATTCTCCCTCAGACTTTTTCTTGATTGAAAGAGGGATAGAGTGTTTCTCCCTTGGACCTTTTCTTGATTGAGTTCTCTCTCTCTTGATTAATACTATTATATTGTACTGTACAATTTGTACTCTCTTTGAATNTGTAATACAAAAAATCTAAAAAGAAAAAAAAGACTGAAATTAATTTTCCGCTTGACTTTAGAGTAAATATAAAATATATATCTGAAAAAGAGTAGGCTCATAAAACCAATGGAAAGAAGTCCATGAGTTCATACTGTGTTTATACTATTTTATACCAACCCAAACCTAATTAAAAGAGCACGATACAATGTCCTTGACTTTCCAACCACAGGAAAAAGTTGACTTTGGTACTCCAAATTAACTTTCTTTATATTTTATATGTTTTGAGTAATGTATTAGACCTAACAAGTATATCGTCCTCGACTAATCTTTTTTAGCCAAAGACAGACCAATCACTCTCGGACTAAAATATTCATGATCAAGAATAAATTCATATAGTCTAGTTTTAAAAAATTTTGAAGATTTAAATTCAAAATATTTAAATTTATAATTTATCCCGATTGCTAATTAAGCTACCGCTTAGAATTATACAACGTGATTTTCTGATGCAAAAGCCTAATTAATTAAACAATAACCATTGAAAACGAAATGAATGGCACTAACTAACCTGCCATTCTTTTAGGCCTTGTGGGCTATCTGGACTGGATTTCTTGACCGCAACTGGGATTCCAATTCCAACCTTGGATGGAGCATAAGTCTTTCCATCGATCCATCCTTTGAAAACCCTTCCGAAACCTCCCTCACCCAACATCGTGTCCGGTCTGAAATTTCTGGTCGCGCTTCTCAGCTCAGCATAAGTGAACATTTTCAGGTTTGGAGTGACAATTCGCCCACTTGGAGGCACTTCTTCAACACCACCACCTGTGTCGTCACATGGCGGCGACAAGCTTTTCTGACCACTGTTGCTGTTGCTGTTGTTCTTGAAGGGTTTTAAAGGTTTTGCATCGTTGTGGACTGAAACAAACAAAGAAGAAGACAAAACATTAGAAATATTTATGTACTCTCTGAACTGAAACTTAACTAAACAATGATTTTTCAGTCTGAAAAACGCAAAATCAAACAAACTTAATGCGTATATTTGTTTAAGGGAGGTAATACATACTTGGGTTGGACAGTTTGGCGGCGCTTGGGAGACTATCCACAGGCTTTGGCCAGCAGTTCCCCATCTTCTCTCTTTCTCTACACTATCTCCCCTTTGCAATGAAGTCTATTTAGTTGCCAATATCGCAAAGTTTTTCTATCTGTTCACTTTCCTCGAAGGAGAGAAGAAGGAGCAGAGGAAGGAAAGGAGCGAGCACACGAAAACCAGGACTTTTTCTTGATTATATACACAGAGACCAGAGAGAGAGAGAGATTCTCCCTCAGACTTTTTCTTGATTGAAAGAGGGATAGAGTGTTTCTCCCTTGGACCTTTTCTTGATTGAGTTCTCTCTCTCTTGATTAATACTATTATATTGTACTGTACAATTTGTACTCTCTTTGAATTAATATTTTCGAGGAAATATTGGAGAAAAATACTCATAATAATGTAAGATAAGTGTTCACAGTTGTAGAGAGATACCCATGAAAGTCAAACACACCCCTACCAAACTCTTCGTCGGATGGCCCACCGGTGTTATCAGTAATGTTATGTCGACGAAATTTAAGATTAAATCAAGAGATCACATGACATGACATGACAGTATATTATTTGAAATTTTTATTAGACCCTAAATGATATGACACAAAATAAAGAAATCAAAGTTAGCTGTAATGTTATTTGAGCTCTTAATTTAATTCAAAAATTTAATTAATGTAGCATTACTTAACTTTTAATGTTTTGTATTGTCATGTAAATCTTTTTTTCTTTTTCAATTCTGTCGGTCTGAACTTCACCCATGGCTGCCAACTATTCTTCGCTTTCCCCATAGCTCCTTTAAACAAGTTTTTTATGGTAGCTTCATAGTTTTAAGCATTTAGGTTTTTTATGGGGACCAGCCTTTTCTTTTATGCTTCTTTGCCTAATCACCACTTTAAAATTTTCACTCAATACTTAGTGAGTAATCTATCTGGTCCTAATGATCACATGACATAATTTGTCAATTTATTTGTATAATTGAATTATTATGGGTCACCACCGTGGTTACCATTGGTATAGTTGAGTCATAATATTAAATGAAGGTTACTTTTAATCCAATAATAGTTCCTCCTTTCTGATCATAGGCGGACTAATGGTGAGGAAGTGGTGTTTCGCTTCGACAAATTCTTTTGCAGTAGCTTGAATTGAACCCGGGTTATGAATGTGAACGAGAGAAAAACAAACAAACCCCATGACTTGATTAGGGGATCTACAGATTTTCCTTCTACAAGCTTCCCGACAAGCCTCGATCTCAGTTCAATCCTTTAATTGGCGCCGTCCTTGGCTGGGAGGCATCTACCTCATCCCGTGAAGGCCTTTCCATCTGGTGAAATTCAAACCTTGCCAGAGAGAGAGAAGCGAATTGAAAACCAGCCTCAAATCCCTTCGCAATCGAAAAAAGCATGAGTTGAAAGTGATCGAAGTTTAAAATTGGCCCGTGGGAAGGACACGGACCCTCCAGAGACGAATCCTGGACAACTAGCATTTGACCAATCTTATCCAATGAAAGTGTCTCTTAGCCGGTTTACAGGCTTTGGAAAAAAAAGAAGAAAATAGCAACCACTGTCATTGAGATGATGTCCTAAAGGATAAGATGAATGAACTATCGAATAGTGAGGTGTGACGGACGGAGTGTACTGAACATGATCCCTCTCCTTTATCCCAATCTTGAAATACATGATTCTTTAGGCTTTCTTACGTGCAAAATTGTCTTCCTTTTTGTTATTGCCAACCAGAAATCAGGATTCAATTGTAATTTAAGAAAGATAGAGAAGAAGTGGAAGTCTCGGGCCTTCACGATCTTGGTCTCGGATGACACGATCAAAAGATTTTGAGGGTGAGCAACCACCGGTTTGATTATATCAATAAATTATATTATATAATTAGATCCAAGAAACACTATTAATACACCATTGATAAAAGAAAACTTTGCTTCCACTGCCATGCTTACTTAGCATTGAAATGTAAAACACCTACTTTAAAATATTTTCAACACTGTTAGGGATTCCAAATCCAATTTTAAATTCTGCATACTAAATGCAAAGAGATATATCAACATATGGGTCCTGTTAAAATAATTTTTAGAACTTACAAATCCAAAGGACCATTAATTCTAGTAGTATTTCTAGTGGTAACAAGAACGAGCTGTAAACTCAAATGTTGTGAGTTTAAATTTTGGTAATTTCTTGAGATCAGATCATGAGAGATTTATCTGTTATGAATAGTTTAGTCCCGACGTGGATGACTTGATATTGATCAGATCGGAGAAGGGATTAGTTAAGGTGCACATACGTTGATCGAAACACCCTGATCATTGAAGAAAAAAAAAAAAAAAAAACCATCCAAGGACCATTTCAGATCCCTAGCAGTGCTGTTAATGACATATTTTTGGGTCACCAACCGTAGAAACCTACTGCATCATGAGTCTTTAATTTGAAAATTTCTTTCAGTCTCGTTGAAAGCATTAACGCCTTCAGTATATTTGACTTGTTCTATTAGCGTCAAGTCCCTGTAGTACACTCAAGAGGTCTGGTAAAAATCTCAGACGATGCAGTAAAATAGCAGCTTGCAAACAAATTAAATTCCACGTTAACCTTCACCTCTTATTCCTTTAGAATGTCCATTGAATGCCCAGTGAGCTATAGCTTTTTTATTAGGGAAAATAACATTAATATCCGCTCCAATTTTGATGTAAAATGATATCATCCTTCCTCATTCTAAAATTAATCTCACGACTTTTTGTATTGCCAATTTTTTACAACAAAGACATCAATCCCGTCTGAGTGGGAGAAACAATGACTTATAAACATGTCAAAAGTCCATTAAAGAGGTGTTTGTTTCACGGGATATTATTAGAGGATTAGAATAGGGGATTGTCCAAAAATGTCCTTGGCATCCATTTATCTTTCATTTGGATCCAAAAAATGGAGTGGGATAAATGTTGAATTCAAAACAAACTTGTAGGAATTGGTAAATTTTTCTCTTCTAGAGTGAGTATTCTTAACCCATGGAACGTCAGGGATAAATTACACTAGATTTTTCAATCAACCGAATTTATAGGTTACTGTACAACAAAATCCATGTGCAATAATTTTAAGACTTTTATATACAAGATATTATGGTAAAGTACTATCAAGCTAATGTCATATCAGCATTCATTAAATTTGGCAATACATGAGACACAAACTTGAAATTTTGCCTACCCAAGTGAAGGATTGGATGGAATACATATATATTTCATTGCATTGGTTTGGATAAAATTAACTTCAAAACTTAATCCAATCCGACCAAACTTTTTTTTTTTTGATAGACAGAATTAAGGGTGTCAATTTTTTCCGTTAACACGAATCCAACTCCAAACAAATTCGACAGGAACCCAAAAATAATACGAATAATAAATAGGTCAAATTAAGGTTCGACACGAATAACACGATTAATGAGTATTGTAGATAAAAAATAATAATTTAACGAGTATTGTACATAGAAAATAAAAATTTTATATTTTTTTTATAATTTTTTGAATAGTATTATATTAGTTGCTATCAAATTAAATAATTTTTTATTAACATGAATATTGACACAAATCCGACACTTATCCAAAATAATACGACGTGAAAATAACACAATCAAAAATGACACGACATAAAAAAAATAATACGATAGGATATGACACGACATAAAAAAAATAATACGATAGGACACAATTGACGTCCTCAAACACAATCACAATCTAACCAAACCTTGACTACCCAAACACGCTTAAAAGAGTACTGTGTTGCATATATGTCAGAGTCATAGGGGTAAATTATATTTACACCTCTTAACATTTAATTTTATTACACGGACACCTCCTTACATTTTAACAATTACATGGAACTCCCTAAACATTTAAAATTTATAATAACCACATTCCCTCTAACTAACTGACGTTAGAACAGTTCACAGATAAAGTTGATGTTATCAATAATAATTTGTAAAATACCAAAAATACCTTTCAAAACTAAATTTAAAAATTAAAAAATTCAAATATTTATTCTTTTTACCCCCAAAATTTTATCTCATCTCTCCTTTATCATTTATCTATTTTATATTTCATATTTAAATTAAAAATTTTCCAATTAAATATTTAATTTTATAATCTATCAAATTAATAAGTTAAATACTAGAATTTTTTGTTTATTATACTACATATTTATGTAAATTCTATTTATCAATCCAGGCCCTTAAATGCACAATTAACACCATTACCCACTCCCCATAGCTGTCTCCACACCACAGAAACCATCACCACCCCCTCTCTCTCTTTCTCTCTCTCTCTCTCTCTCTNTCCAACTCCAAACAAATTCGACAGGAACCCAAAAATAATACGAATAATAAATAGGTCAAATTAAGGTTCGACACGAATAACACGATTAATGAGTATTGTAGATAAAAAATAATAATTTAACGAGTATTGTACATAGAAAATAAAAATTTTATATTTTTTTTATAATTTTTTGAATAGTATTATATTAGTTGCTATCAAATTAAATAATTTTTTATTAACATGAATATTGACACAAATCCGACACTTATCCAAAATAATACGACGTGAAAATAACACAATCAAAAATGACACGACATAAAAAAAATAATACGATAGGATATGACACGACATAAAAAAAATAATACGATAGGACACAATTGACGTCCTCAAACACAATCACAATCTAACCAAACCTTGACTACCCAAACACGCTTAAAAGAGTACTGTGTTGCATATATGTCAGAGTCATAGGGGTAAATTATATTTACACCTCTTAACATTTAATTTTATTACACGGACACCTCCTTACATTTTAACAATTACATGGAACTCCCTAAACATTTAAAATTTATAATAACCACATTCCCTCTAACTAACTGACGTTAGAACAGTTCACAGATAAAGTTGATGTTATCAATAATAATTTGTAAAATACCAAAAATACCTTTCAAAACTAAATTTAAAAATTAAAAAATTCAAATATTTATTCTTTTTACCCCCAAAATTTTATCTCATCTCTCCTTTATCATTTATCTATTTTATATTTCATATTTAAATTAAAAATTTTCCAATTAAATATTTAATTTTATAATCTATCAAATTAATAAGTTAAATACTAGAATTTTTTGTTTATTATACTACATATTTATGTAAATTCTATTTATCAATCCAGGCCCTTAAATGCACAATTAACACCATTACCCACTCCCCATAGCTGTCTCCACACCACAGAAACCATCACCACCCCCTCTCTCTCTTTCTCTCTCTCTCTCTCTCTCTCTTCACACACATACATAGAGCACCACCACTGCTAGACGGAGTAACCTTCACCCCATCTCTATTTTCATCTCCACAACCACACAATACACAACACACACCACCATCATAATCAAGCAAAACCCCACCACATCCATCTCCATTTTCATCTCTACAACTACATTCTTAACCACATCCCACACATAACCTAACAATCACTGTAATTAAAATTGAACCCCAAAAATCACTGCTATTCTTTCTATTTCTCAGATTTTTTAAGATTTGGATCTTTTCAATCTCTCTCTCTTTCCCTCTTTCTCTCCCAATGTTCTTTTCTTAGGTGGGTTGACGTTTTGGATGAGGGTGGCCATTAAAGTGTGCTACAGTGGTGGGGAGTTACTGGTAATTTTCGTCGATTTTTCTGCAATTTCAAGCAGATAATTTCGCACACACGCACACACAGATATGAGCAGAGGGAGAGAGAGAAGATTGATAATTTTCGGGGTGGTTCTTTACCGAGAGAGAGAGAGAATGCACTGGGATTGCTGGTGTAGAGGTGGCAAAGATTAGGGTTAGGGATAAGGCTTGGGTTTTGGATTTGAGTTTTTGTTAAATAAATGGGCAAAATAGTCTTTTTATTAAAATAATTAACTCCGTCTAACTATTGGGGTCTCAGTATAATTGTTAAAACGTGAAGAAGTATCCATGTAATAAATCTAAATGTCAGAGACTGTGAGTGTAATTTACTCTAACTAATAACATGGAAAGACATGCAAGTACCTTTTGGACGGTTTCAACATGGGATAAATGTAATGGGTTGATTATTGCCTTGAGAAAATGTGAGAAGTAGTAGGGACCAATATGACTTGTGTGGCCCTTTTTCACACATAGACATGTACAAGGCAGCATTGGCCTCGTCAACGAGAGAATCCTTTTGTTTCCAAACTAAAATTAAACACAAAATTAATCACTGGGTTTCTGTTAATGTGACTCAGTCTACGCCACGTGTCTCATCACTTCAAGTCACGTCCAATTGTCGCTGCTAGTTGCTAATGCTAATCATGTTGAAGCTTTAATGTATATGAAACTAAAAATTAGTGAAGTTGAATGTCAAAAAGAAAACTCAAACTACTCCACGTGATTAAACGTGAATTCATGGGAGGGGTATTGCCAAGTATTATCGAACTAAAATACATGAGGTTTTAATTCATTATATTCTACAAAACCTCTAAAAAAAACCAAATATAAAATATGGGAAAAGAAGAAAAAAAAAATCTTTTTTAACAAATCAGATTCAATCTTTTTTAATTGTGATTTGTTACACGTGCGGTGGGATGATACTGATTTTTTTTTTAATGATTTGCATTTTGAGGTGGTGAGTGTGTTGAGTAGGTGACAATGGTGGCAAAACTAGATCGAATCAAGGCTTTGATAAAATACAAAGAGCTCTCTCTCTCTCTCACAAGGTGGGTTGAGAATTAGGTTGAGGGTTGTGAGGGTGAGAGGTGAAGGTTAAGAAGAAGGGTGCGGGGGTGGATGGCGGGGTGATGTTTGGGTCTAATTTTTTATTTCAGTTAAAATTTCTAATAGTATATAAGGTCCACACGGATAGCAAATTTAATGACATTATTTTTAATATGGTCATCTCTAATGATCCGTCACGACAAGGATATCGTTTTCGATTTATCATCAAATCAAAGCGAGTACATTATAAATTTTAAAACTAGAAGAGTGTATCTCTTGAAACTGATCTAAAATTTAGAAGAGCTGGTATAGATTAAGAATAATGCTATTGATATCTAGTTTATTAATATAATTTATTGACCTAATTCACTATGATTATTGGATTAACTGTAGATTCTATCAAACATTGAAATTTGATGTTTATCCAATAATTTCAATGAAGCCACATCATTAAATTAGCAAATTATGCTAGATTTTTTAGTTCAAATAAATTTTTTCATAGATTAAAATCCATTTAAAATATATACTAACTATTTTGCAATGAAATATTCTATGGATTAAACATATATAGATGCCCGGAATGGACGGCTAATGGCCAAGAATTTCTTGAAGTGTGGCCACAATCCACATACATAGATTCATGATCAGGATGCTTCGATAGTTGTAACTCTATGTGAAGTGTAGAAAAATTTGGTGGTCAAGGAGTGTAGATAGGGAGAGAGAAAGAGGAGAGGGGAGGGGGGGGGGGGGGAAGGGGGTGGT